TTTTAATGTCTTACACCCCATCCCACCCTATCCCGCCCTATCTAATAACCACAAAGGAACCCAACTCAAATTGTGTTTGACCTACCTCGTCGGGAATAGCATCAATCTCAGAATGACAAACCTCATCAGCCTCAGGTTTAGTCTGCCCTGTATGCACACCACCCCCCATCACCCCAGCCTCGGTCATGCCTGTTTTCACTCCTGAAACCAGCATTAGCTATGCCTTTCTCTCTCTCCCTCTCTCTCTCTCTCTCTCTCTGTTGTGCCCCTTGATCGTTCGCCGTTCTCACCGAAACCATCCCCCCCGATCCTTGTACACTACCAGCAAGGCTCAGCAGGATTGTTACATGTCGTGGCGTTTTGCCCACCCCTACTAGCTCCAGGAGACAAGGCCGAAATGGATGTGGAGAGAAGGGAGGATCCTTTTAGCTTTTTGGATTTTGCTTGTGATGTTACGTTGAGGAGGGAGATCGCTGACTAGGATATGTTTCTGCGTGTGACTGTCTCAGTTCTCGATCATAATAAAAACGTCCTTATGGCTACATGTACCTGGATGTGGGAATAAGAATTGCAACAGCCTTGCAGTCTCCATTTGGAGTTGCATTGACAGATTATCATACTGTTGCATGTCTCATTCCAAGTGACAGCGCAACGTGGTGCAAGGTGGTATCCCGGTGTAGAATACGTAACTATATCACCATGCATCTGTCGTTTACACAACAACTACTACCGTACCGGTACTTGACTTGACAGAGTTCAAGCAATTGAACTGACAAGGGACCCATCCCCAACTCCATTACCGTAAATCATCCCTAATGTCGATCATTGAACCCATTCCCATCCCCACACTCACTTTCAAACTCTGGCTTGAATCGGCCAAAAAAAAAATATCTGATAGTGGGTTGGGCACTCTGACGTCTCGTCTTGTCTCAATCTCGACCAATCAACAATCTAACCGCGCCTTATCAATCCTCGTCCAGCTGTGCTCTTGTGCAGTATCCGTGCAGTAAATGCAGTAAAAGCCCTTCACCTTCGGCCGGCTCCGCCAGGGACAGCGGAGTCAACCCGCGGTGGCGCCGCTGCAAGCCAGACAGACTCTGACCTTTCGCTTTTAGGAGTACTACGTGGTACAGCAAAAGCTAGCTGGAAATACAAAAAAAAGGAGGCTGAAAATTAGAGGCTGTATTCAACCTAGTCCAGCCCTGTAACGTCTTTGCAACTGCCAAATCCTGCATCGTCTTTCACTAGCACCCTCGGCATATCCTGGATGTGAGGGTCACTCTCGACTCCCTAACGTGCTCCTTGATCGTTCGTTGACTGGCACAAGTAGTAGTTTGACACTTTTCAGGTGAACTTTCGTTTTAATCTCGGTCTCTTTTGGACCATATTCAGTACGTACCCAACTCCAGAAGGTCTGTCCTAATATGCTAAACCGAAACGCCTTGCTTCCTTTCTAACGTAACCGATCCGTATGCTGTTGTGTTGCGTTGCCTGCGTTACATAATACAAAGATGATGATACTAGCCTTTTCGTCAAGCTAAACTCCCAAACTTAATCCCACAGTAGTCCCGAATCCGAATATGACACACACTCACTCACCATTAGGCTAACAAGACCGGCCAACTTCACCAGCCCCTACCCACGCATGCCTGTCTGCAATTCATGACAGCCCCTTGCAACTTGATCCAAATCCCTGATTCCCATCTCATCATCTCAGCCCAGCCCAGCCCCAGCTCAGTCCGAGCACAAACGCCTTCACATGTCAATCGCCGAACATCCCTGCACATCAAAACATGATCCACTCCACCTCCACTCCGGGTCCCCCGATGCATTTGGTCCAGTTGAACGGTCCGCGTTGATCCCCGGTCCTGGTTCCTAACATCAACGGCTCTTCTCCCGCCCAATCTTGGGCCCACAACTTCTCCAGCACCTCCAGAGCCGCCAAGTTGTTCATGTAACCAGAACGGAACATGATATCACGACACTTGGACCGCACCATGTTTTGCTGTAATTCGTTGACGCACTCGCAGCCCGCAACGAAAAGGGGCCAGAGTAGAAACTTCTCGGCGCTACTTCCTGTGTCCAGGTTCGTTGCGTAATAGACCACCTGGCTGACAAGGCTCTGGATACTCTGGTGCCCTGAAGGTAACGATGGGCTCACTAGTCGCTCCGTGTATAACAGGGCGGCATAGCGGAAAGCCTCGGAGAGTGATTCCAGGTCTCGTAGTTGACTTTGTGTACAGGGCTCAGGAAGTGAGGCGCTGACCCTGGGAGCATCGAAGTTCCAATTCTGCAGGGCCAGCCGTGCTTCTTTCCACTCATGCCAAAACAAGGAGCGACCTTCTTCGTATGACGCGGCCGGGGCACTTGTTGGCGCAGTTCGATCCTCGTGGATTCCCGTGTTCGATCGCCCATCACCAAGGCCATGGCTAGTGACACTACTCATGTCCCCTAACTGATCGTTCACATTAAACCCTGTGAGAGATTCTCGCCGAGCGTGACCTAGTGGAGAGATGTAAGACAAGGACGGAGATCGTTCAGGCACTTCCTGAGTTCCATATGCGGCAGCTGCTTTTCGTACGGAGCGATTCTGAGACAATAGATTTAGGCGACCGAGTCTGCTAATGGTCTTGAAGAGCTCGCGGTCACACCCCACCAGGTTCTCGGCTCCAACAGGCAAGAGTTGAGAGTCTGACATCCCACTGAAACCAGGATACACTTGAGACTCGCGCTCGTTGATGCTGGCAGAGATGGCGTCAAAGTAGTTGAAAATAGCCTCCATCCAGGCCGAATTGCTAGATGTTGCAAGATGCTGAGTTCGAAGAGCAAGAATCTTGCTGACACCGGCAAACTGAGTATGGAATTTGGCGATACCGGACTCAACCATGCGGTAATGACATAGTAGGAGGATCGTAGCAAGGACCGAATCGTGAATTGCTTTGGTCCGGTCGTTGAGTTGCTCGTTTAATAGGTGCACAGCCAGGTTACGGTGTTGGTATTCCTCGGCGAGGGACAGGTCGTCGGGCTGAGTGTCTGCCATGGCTTCGGCGGCATGTTTGTCAGCCATCAACTTCTCAGAAAGATCTCGTGTATCACGTCCGAGACTCAGTTTCCTCTTCATGCGGAGATTGCAGGATGCAAGAGCACAAATTGCATGGCTCAAACTCTGGCTGTTTACAGCTAGTCGCAGAATATGGTCTCGAAATGGGTTGTGTGGCCCGTCGATAAAGACCATGGAGGGACACATGATATTCTCGTAGTAATCCATGAAAAAGGGCATCTTGGAGATGAGGTCCTGGCTCACATGAACAGAATGATTTTCGGAAGCGGTTGGCCAACCCGAGGGAGCAAAGTCCGAGTGATGAGATTTGACATCTTCATCTTGCATCGATGGAGACTGCCAGGAGATCGGCATCGAGCTATAGCTGGCGCCATATGTATCGACTTCAGGCACGCCTGCAAACGTTAGAACCAAGGAATTCATTGGTTCCATCTGAGCTTACCGAATGAATCACAATCCCGAACCATCCTATTGCCCATTTGCGAGTCAAAGGTGTCGGTATGCGAGTGAAGGCTGGAGCTCATTTCTGAAGGAGCATGGGCGAGACTGGGGCATGAGGTCGGGGCGAAGGTCCTTGCGTGTTCGGCGTAGAGGGATGCTGGGGGGCTTTGAGGGCCAGGAGAGCTAGTGCCTGTTGTATAGCTGTCGTACATGTAGGACGGGCTGTGAACATAAGAGACGTCGTCTCTGGTATAAGACTGGCTCATGGGCGATACGTAGCCAACATCGGGAGTTAGGGGATCGATGGAAGATGAGAGGTTTTCTGTGACAAGAGGCACCGGGAATCGATGCAGATTGTGTGCTGTTTCTTGAGCGGGAGAATAGTTGACCGAACCCCAGTTTCCTTGGTGGATGGGGGCTGCATGCTCAGGATGGGGGATAGAGAGGTAGTCATATCCTGCCATGGCAAACGGTGTTGTAGGTGCAGAAGCGACTTGTGTCACTGCAGGAATATCAATAGGCCCTTGGCGCATCCGGCTGACTTCATCTTCCGTCCCTGAACGAGCAATGGCAGAGCTTCTTGATGATGCAGTCGAGTGTTTCCTAGGTTCACGAGTAACAGGGGGAGCTTTTGCAATGGGAAGAGACAAGCCACGAAGCTTGCCTCGACTGGCCACGCCAACTCCCCAAGTAAGTTGTGTTTTATAACCAGAGCATTCACTGCCAACCTCGAGACACTGAGAGCAGTATGGTCTTCTACGGTCACACTTGATGTTCTTCTTGGAGCAAGAGAAACAATCATCAGAAGCGCCACCAGCGGGAGCACGTCTTCTGCGCTTTCGTACTGCAGAGGGATCCTTGACCGTGACGGTCGGTTGTGACATGGCGGCTGTCATGTTCGTGAATTTGGAAAGGTGAAGTGTGTAAGAGGTGGACGGGTGTGCTAAGAGAGTTGTCGAGGCCAAGGTATATAACCAAGTTGAGTCAACTTAATGTGTATGTTGACAAGAGTCGAGGTGAAGTTGGTGGAGGAGTAGTGGTATAGTTAAAGACTTTGGATATGAGGAACTCATAAGAGTATAGACAACAGGGAGATTTTAGAAACGGTGGAAACACGATGTTAAAGTATGAATGAAGTCTTCAGGAACGGGGTATGAATATGGAAGTGGCGCTCTAGGACGGTATAAGGCAAGATGAAGGCCAGATAGAAGAGGCGAGGGGTGTTCAGAGACCGAGGAGGGTATCGCCCAGTACTTGAGAGCAGCAACAAGACCCTGAAGCCGCGGCAGGGATCATGATGGGGAGCAGTGCACTCGAGGGGTGCAGGGAGAGTGAGGGGTGTGGGTGAAGTTCATTACAAGGAGTTGGTAGCGTGAAATAGCGTAGTGATGTACCTACAGCAGATAGGCACGTTTAAGATCGAGAGAGCGGGACGTCTGATGAGAGACGGGAGTGGAGAGAGGGGGATGGATGGGGGATGGACGACTCCCATGCCATGATGGGGGCACCACCGTTAGCTCTGGCTTGTCTCTGCTGTGGCTCTGGCTCTGCCTTCGTCTCTGTCTCTGGTAGGTCCTGGCTCTGGCGTTGGCATCATCATCCCAAACCCAAGCAAGCGTGTCTTTTTGCGATGATCAGCGGGGGATCCTTGGATGCCATCTCCATTTCGGCCGAGGTAGACTAGAGGAGCAGAATAGGTTAACCAGTGACAACCACAGAAGGGATTCCCCTGGCAATAAGAAAATGGTTTCAGTCTCAACGGACCCAGTCCAATCTCAATCTCTCTCGGTGTCTTGGCCGGTGCTGGCGGTGATGTATGTATGTCTACAGTAGATAGCGGCAGCGCGGGCCTCCTTCATAATACGTAGGGTACGTCGTTTTTTTGGAGAAGAGGAAGAGAAATATGGAGAGACGACGACCTGAGGAACCAGGAAAACTTCACTCACAATGATGGGAGGATGGAGGGGAGGGGCGGGATCGAAGATTGCGTGGGCGTGGCTACTCGCTACAGTACGAAATGGTAGGTGCAATTGCAACCAAACAAGTTGGTTACGGTTAAGATACCTTGTTTGTCGTATGGAATGTGAGCAGTCGTAAGTATCTATCTCTAGCCCCAGGAAAGTGGTTCATTCTTTGCCTGCGGACCCTGTAAGTCTTTGGGGTAAGCCAGTCCAGCAAGCACCCGCCCCAAGTCTGGTCGGGTGGATAGAACCTCCCATCGTTCGGCGGCCTACGGGGGGTTAAGCCCCCCCGGCTTGATCTCCATGAGCGGTTTAGTGGCCGTCGGTATAACGCTGCGAGGCACCCCTAGCGCTGTTCATACACCGGTATAACTGCCCTTGGCCGTTCCCACATTGCCTGGGGGTTCTGATTTGGCCAGCCCATGTTCATCGAGTCCGTCCCTTGTAGAGCAAGGTCTCACTCGCTCTCTTCCGCCCGAGTTCCCCCCAACTCTCGGATCTTGGGCAGATTGGACTCACGAAACTCTTATTCTGTACTGTAATCGTCGTAGCGGACAAGGGAGCACTCATGACAAGGTTGAAAATCTAGGCCAAGTTGGGCAAAGAGTGCAGCGAGCGCCAAGTCGGGGACGATTGCGCAAAGGGAATAGAGCCTCAAAGCATAAAAGCCGCCGGTAATAACTAAAGATGAGTTACGATTGATGATGCGTGAATATCCAATATTTACAAGGGAACCCAGGTGATGTGGGAGAATTGGGCAAGTTTTGTTCCTCTTTGTGGCTTGTCACGTAGCATCCTCTCGTCTAGATGAAAAACCGTCTGGAGCCGACATGACAACGGTATACGGCCGAAGCACACCTGAGGCTCAATCCAGTCTTGTAAACTCTGTAAGGAGCTTTGTTCCGGCATAGGTCTATGCTTCCAGTCTAGATAGCTCATCATACATGACCCAACGGGCTGGCAGAGTGTCGGTTTGGGGCTAAGATCAAGAAGGAACCTGCATACTGACACTGAGACCGTAGATAGTCTGGTGCGCCAGTAGTTTGACGCTATGGGAGAGGAAGAAGAAAATTTTGAAGAACTCAGGGGAAAGGAGGCTTCAAATTCAATCTGTCCAAGCTTTTTTTCACCTTTCTGTCGTACAAGTCAGTTCAGACTGTAGACTGGAGGTAAGATACCTATCTCTCAGACACTCTCGGAATCGCCGACGAGGCTGCGATAAGTCAACATCTCCCACTGTCACTGGTTGTCAGTCACTACAGACACCAGACAGTCAGTACTGGACGGACGATACTGTAGCTCTTGGCAATTGTCGATCGCATAGCATCGATAGATGCAGGTTCGAAATGGTTCCTGGCGAGAGGAAGATAAGATATCCGTTATCATATCCGTAATGGAAACAAAAGATCTTTATTGCGTGCGAGCTAGGTACCTATCTCAAGCGACAAAAGAGCCAAGACAGGCCAGGATGCACCAGACAAGGAGACTTGCATACAGACATCCTGGATCCATGTAGCGACAAGGGTGACAAAACCGCCGCCGGGTGCACCTTAAAATCATCCGCTGCATTTGCATTTGCAGTTGCAGTTCCATATCCACAACCGTAGGCGCTAAAGCGATCCACTCCCGGGGCTCCGTATGCACCCTTGACCGTGGTCAGGTCAGGTCCTTTTGCAACGTGACGGCCCAATCAGAAATGCCCATTCCTTCGTCTCAACCATCTCCATCTCCACTGAAGACAACCTCATCCACTCCCCATGCATCCATTATCGACAGCTTAACCACTCGCGCTGTGACAAAACAAAATCTCCCCGCCTCTCAGAAGCAAAAGGGCCAAGCAGCCTGGGGTTGCCAAGGATCGCAATTAATCCTGCTACTGTAACTAGGTGCGTTAGCCACCTAGGTAGCTGCCTCCTTACGGTGGAGAGGAGGAGGAGCAGCCGCCTCAGCATCAGCAGCAACAGACGATAGAAGGGTCAGTCAATCTTGAAATCACCTCGGTTCTAGCTCGCTTGCAACCGTGGATCTTGTAAGGCCAACCGTGCCGGAATTTCATTGTGCAAATCAGTTAAGAACAGGGGCCCTACTATCTACAACAGCACGACACAGATGCTAACATTCATCTGGCAACAACGCCGTCATGAAAGATATTATCCAGAGGCTCCAGAGCCAGGCTTTCTTGCAGTTTTGCTGGGTTGGCGACGTCGAACCTCGAAACGAGTCTCCGCTCGAGTCCTACCTCCGCGTTTGCTGGCCGCCTTCCACTTCACCTTACCACATACCTTCAATTGCCCTGGCAGCCCAAGACCTCCCTGGACAGAGGCAGTGGAACCAACGAATCTCTCACCCCGCAGGATCACACGCAAGACAACCGCGCACAACACATGGCGAACCGTGACATGAACAGGGCTGATTACCCCCATGCTTTGAGACAATCAGGACATCCCTCACTGATAACTGGTCAACCATAGCCATGTCGGAAGCATACACAGTTGATCCGACTGCTCGGTTTATCTGACCATTAACCAACTCACGCCATGAATATGATGACGAGAAACTCGAATGGCGGCAATACCACGGATTGGGACGTTGCGGTACATGTCTCTTAGCGGTTGATCCTGAGACCAATTAGTCACGACAAGGCTAATCACCCAGTTGCTTAGCGGTCAACCGTGGCGGCGCCTCAGAAGCAGTTTAGGCTTGTCAGAGCTTCTATGCATTCTTCCACCAGACTTCTTCAGCCATGTCACACAGACTAGTTAGGCGCTGTCTAACTTCAACCGTCTTGGTCCATGTAGTCGACAGCCCTTGCTGGTTCCCCCCACTCGACCCTCTCTCGTGCTGAATTGCGCCCGTCCACTTACATCATTTATGGACTCACAACTTCGGAGACAATTTATCTGCTGTGCAAGCCTGTTTACTTGGCTCACCAGCATCTTCCATTTGGTCTAGAATTACGATATGCTCCCTTCTCAATTTACGGATAGAGCCCGAGACCACCAAGTCCCAGAGGAAGTCCCAGAGCTCGACCCACGCCTCCTCGGCCGAGAAACCCGAAGGTTTCAAGGACAGGAGGATGGAATGCCGGGTGTAAAATCACAGCACATTCTCAATCTTTACAAGACTCTACAGAGTTTGTGTTGCTGCTAAATACGCCCATGACAAATGGCTTCTGAATTTCCAAGATTTCACATTTCAGCGATTCCAATAAAGTGGTTGCTTGCATGCAAGAGATGGATGCTACCCCTCGCACTGAGGGCAGACAGCCAGCCACACCTATGCACGCCGCTCTCGTCATCTGGAACCACTTCAACACCACCACGCACAGCGCTGTCCTCAGTCATTTGCAACGGTTGCCATCATCGCCCTGGCTAGTAACACGTATCCATGTGAAGCACTTTTCAAAAGTATCCAGTGTCCAGCTATCAAGGATCGTATGCTCTGCACCGTCGCGTCACACCACCATGAGATTTGAGCTGCCCTGCACTAGTTATCGTGAAGTGTGAAGCATTGCTCTCCACCACATCCGAATGTGCTTCACCATGCATGTCCGCAAATTCGACGAAGCAACCCTCCCTAGATTTCGAAGCTTTAAGCGTCGCAGCCACATTTCTAGAACACCAACATCCCACCGACCCTATCACTCCTTACGTACGTTTATGGTCGTAGTTGGCTCTACCGCGGGGGTTATCAGAAGCCTTGCTCGACGCCTTGGCGGCTTGACAATAGTCCCCTGGTTGGTGGTACGCATCACATCACACAGCAAAGACAGAAGACTGCATAGACGTTCTTTCGGTTAGGCACTCCAGCCGTTTCGCCGTTACTACACAACCATTGCACTGTGGTCATTTCTCATCGTTGCGCGGTACAGTTTAGCTTATATGAATACCATCTGTGATCGACTTCAGTTCGGCTCTTTTATCTTCAGGGTCAGAGCCAGCTCGGTACTGCTAAAATCCAATCCAACGTTGCTCGCAAGTGTCGGCCGGTCCCGAGAGAGGACCAATCTCAAACATACACTATCAGGAGCCGATAAGGCAGTGATCATCTTGCGCAGGTCAGCTTTAGCGGCTGCATTCGTGGAGAGCTGCAGAGTTTCATCGGTGTCTACAAGAGTACCGATCCTTCGGTCAGGGATTAGGAAAATGTCCACTAAACCGGGATCAACCCGAAGGTTGGGAGCCCGAACACGACAGGGCTTGGACACATACTCCTGGAATGCAGATGTGAAAGGAAGACTTGAGACACAAGCGGGCCAAATAAAGAGTCTGCTAAACGTGATCGTCACTGATCTCTAAACTCGATATAGATGCATGAACTCTTTCAGGCTGATCACAACCCTTTTCATCGTCATTCCAAGAGTTCCTTGCACAGAGCCCTTGAACGAGAGCTGGTCCCTGCAAATCCGACCCCGACGCTTATCCTAACCCTTGAATTTTGAAAACTCCCAAGGCTGGTTGGAAACAACACTATTAATGGAGAACTTCTTCGTTGCAAAACGTCTTGACGCCGGACCTTCCGCTCACCGACAGTACTAGGCAAAACTCTTATCTTCCTCCGCTGAAAGCCAAGATTCACTGGACTTGTCCCTAAAGTCACTATGTGGGCTATCAGTCACTGCTTGACATGCAATACTTACAAAAAGGGTCGGATCATCAAACATGCATTTGCAA